AACAGGCTTGTTATTCCATGGAGAACTCGTACACAGCCCACAGGCGCGCCCCCGCCACAGCCGCCGCCTTCTGATGCGCATGCGCGGTCCCGAGCTGCGCGCTGCCGCGGAGATTTGTAGTAATACTAGTGAGCGGAGATTGAGCTGTGTTTAGGGGAACTCTGATTGTGGCCATTTCTTCTTTTATTTTGTCTTGTTCCCGAAGTGTGTCTAAAGGCTAAGTTTTTTTTTTTATGTAGAGTTGTATACAGGGCTGTCCTTACTCTATTCACCACCTGCGGAGGGGGGGTATGCTATAAGGCTAGGTTCAGATCTGAGCGATACCCGGGATGCGCGTCCTGGGACCGCGCAATCGTGTTCAGGTGCACATAGTGATTGCCGCGTGGCAACTGGTAAAAAAAAGTACAAGTACCTTTTTTTGCGGCACATGACACACAGCCTTTTTTTTAGCCGCGATTGTGTTTACTTGCATAGGCAGATTTGTGGCAGGAAAATGCACGATCCGCCTGTGTCGTCACAAGGGGGGTGTGGCCTGCAAAGGGTGACACCATCAGAGGAGGTGACACCAAAATGACTGACAGCCATCCTCTGAAAAGTCGGGCAATTGGTCATGGGCCGAAAGCCTGACATCGGCACCAGAGAGGAGGGGACCCAGCAGCATACCTTATCCCGCCAGATGGACATCCCCTCCTCTCTTTGCCAGCGTCCAGGCAGTTAAGTGCGCGTGACGTTGTCACAAGCGTGCGTAATGATGTCCCAGCAGGCGAACCCAGGTGCAGAACCGGGTGACACCCGGCCTGGGGACGCCTCTGCAGAGCGTCACAGGTTACAAAGAGCTCTTAGCAACCTGGGACGCTGTGGTGGCCCCCCAATGAGATGCCGTCTGAGGCTGCCTCATTACAGGTATGGTGCCAGTTGGATAGAATTGTGAGGGGGTCAGTTTTTGGAGCGGTTACCATTAGAAAGATTCTTTATCTGTAATTGCTCCAAATTACCGCAATCCCTGGGAATAAAAGTGAGGGGAAATTCAAAGTTATAAGTTGCCACAAGTACGGGAATACAGTAAACTCCCCATTATCCGGCATCCAAAGTGATTGGTAGATTCTGGATAAATGTAGTTTCTGGTTGCTTGAGAGTTACTATTAAAAACTGGTCTAACTAATGCCATACCCCATACTATACCATATCAACAAAAACTGTATTGACCATATTAATATTGAAATGCAGTAATCAAAAACAAATTAAGACAAACAGGCACACGATCGTTTCCAGGATAATACATGTCGCAGATCAGCAGAATAGCGAGTACACAGGATTTTTTGTCCTGGTTAGATGAGAGTTTTGGTTAGTTGAATACCGGATAACGGAGAGTTTACTGTAGTTGGGCGATCTTCCAATGGGGACACTTGTTCCGATGACAACTGGAGAGGGGATTTCCCTTACATTGGAAAGGTTTCCTCTCATTTCCTATTGAGTCTACAGAACAGGAAGTAAAGGGAAATCTCTCTAATAGTACGAAAAGGGCAAAAAAAGAAAGAAAGAATGTGGTCTAAACTCAATCTAGTACTCAATGTGAATTCAAACAAGAGTCTAGGCTCTAGATTCACTTTAAAGGAGAACTATGGGGTTAAGTCTTTTCCCCATACCTCTCCTTAGGGTGACGGGAGGACACAAACTAGCGTCCTCCCGTCACCCTAAGCTAGTATACCACGAGCTACAGGTATACTGAGACGCCGCAGCTGAAGCAGATCCTGACAATTGTGCCGGGATCCGCCCAGCTGTATGAGTGACAGCTGGCTCTGCCTATCTAAACGCAGAGCCAGCTGTACCCGCCCTGTCCGTTCCGCAAGAGAGCCGTGACAGGATCGAGAAGTGAGCTAATGCCGGTATGTGTTCGCTCACCTCCCGATCTACTGAGCCGACCTGTGACGGTCTCATTGTCACAGGTCAGCTAGAACTATGAGCTGAGTGAAAAGCGGTTCAGTTTTTTTCTGGCACGCAGCCCCAGGGACATAACTTCCCTCTGATGAAGTGCCCCATGTTCTGCTGGGTGCTGCTCAGTGTAGAAACCTTCCCTCCAGTGATGCCGGATATTCCCCACAGCACTGATCTTCTGGCACTGTGGGGGTTAAAGGACATCGACTGTGACAGAGTGAGAAGTGCATGTGTGGGTTGTGAACAAAGTCGAGAGCTCATGGGGGAGGGCTCCCGTCCAGCAGTCGGCCCTTTCTGCTTAGATGGGTTCCATACACTAGGGCAGGGGTAGGCAACCTTGTCTCTCCAGCTGTGCTGAAACTACAAATCCCATCATGCTTCAGCCTCTAAAAGTCATGCCTGCAGGCTGCAATGCTTTATGGGATTTGAAGTTTCAGCACAGCTGGAGAGCCGAGGTTGCCTACCCCTGCACTAGGGGGTCTATTTATAAACAATATGCAGGGCCCTCCACCCTGTGCATATCGGTGAACGTTCATTTGGGGCGAATTATGCCCACATATTTTTTTTTCCCAGTTGAAATGTAATGTATTGTAATAATACATTATGGCCACTAGATGGAGTTGAGGAGCATAGGAAATAAATACGTATCTAGTGGTCCTAACGCAGTAATTCTTCACATTACATTTGACTCTAAAAGAAATTCTACAAATTGTTTTTAAATATGTCCTTTAGTGTGTGCAAATACATTTTACAACATCCAAAGCCTCTATAATTGTTTACAGACAGGGCTTTATATGGTGGTAAATGTGCACATTAATGCAATTGTGAGAGCCAATCATTATGTTGGTCTATTATCGTAAACAAAAAATTAATTTCTTATTTTCATTTTTTTTTTCTCCTCACACTTTCAAAATCAGTATACCAGACAGTCCTTCACTTTCCTGCAGCCTGACCTTGCTTAAAAAATGCTCGGCCTTCTTCTCATTAAGCTTATTCACAGCTTGGGTTTCACCACTGGAGCTGCGATTTACAAACAAGAATGTCTTAATAAAGCTGTGAAATACAATCAGAATTATATTCTATGGATTGCTCAATGGAGTGACAAAGAATTTGTGTACACAATGTAGAGAAAAGGAGGAATTCCCATGTGATGGTTCAAATTCCGATCAAGTCAAAGAAAATATTGTGGGGACATCAGAACTGGGTTTGCATCTAAAAAACTGGTGGCGTGTTGGATGCTAAAGCTTGGAATCTGAAATGTTTAGATGTTTCTACAACAAACAACTAGGCAAGTGCCCCTACGGCATTCTCCAATGCAGGAACTGGAAATTTAGATCAGTGGTGGTCAACTTTCCTAATATAGAGAGCATCAGGAGTGGCCCCCAACATTACTAAAGACCTGCACATAATATTTGGTCAATGTAATGCTACAGCTCTGAAGAAGGGGAGATTGCCCCCCGAAATGCGTTAGTGATTTTAGCTACCTGTGGTGGTCAATTATCATTATTTGGTATAGCTGTAAAAAATAAGTCAAGGCAACTGGACTTGCTGTATTTTTCTTGAAGATGTTTCAC